CAGATAGTGCAGACCTCCACCCACAGCTCGCGCAGGCGCGTGGTGGAGTAGCAGCCGAGCGGCTGCAGGACCTCTCCTGCCGCCTTTTCCCCTCCAAGCCCTCCCGGGCTCTCTCACCTACCTTTTCCCAATGGGTCTCAGCAAGCTTCACTTCGACTCTAGATGGGGAAGCAGGTCAGATTCACAGCCTCTTTTAAAGACACATGCTCACCCCTCTGCTGGGTCCTGATCCCCAGGGACCAAACTTGTCCAGCAATGAAAAAAAAGAACTTGGAGAACAACTTCACTAGGGGCCTCGTTTCCTAAAACTGGGAAGCTCAGTAAATAATAGTCCCCCACCCCCATGGGCCCCTTCTGAAATCTTCGCTCCCAGAAGCCCACTGAAAGGCAAGCTTGTTTAGTAAGGGGCACCCCTGAGCCAAGGGCCATCGGGACCCTTGCTCTGTAGCCTCATGCTCCCTCACCATGATGACAAGGGTAGGTTTGTTGTTCTGATTCAGTACCTGTAGGTCATGCCCGTGCTGGCCTTTTTTTATCCCCTGGGTTAACAGCCCCAGGTAGGGATGTTTCAGTAGGCCCAGGAACTTAAGCTCTTGTCCAAGGAATGGCTGGTCTCAGCAGTGGGTAGGGTGGGATGGGGTGGGAGACAAACAAGTTTTGTTTCCGTCCCTTCCAGCAGCCCCCTGTACTTGGAGCCAGCCCCTTCCAGAACTCTGCTCAGACCCCCTAAGTCCCTTCTGATCTCTGGTTCTGAACATTTTGCTAGACTTTGATTCCTAATTTAAAATAGAATTTACTTTGACTCCTAATTTAAAATTGAATTGATGGCTCTATGAAAAACCCTTGAACTGTGCTGATGGGGCAGGAAGAGAAAAATACTACCCAATGAACAGCCTCTAGAGAGGGAATGTGGCCTTGTTTCCGAGTTCTGGGGTCCCCTTCACTGGCTTGCTGAGTCTGTAATTCTGTCTGGAAGGGCTTCTCTGCAAGGGTCCCCTGGGGAACGCTTGTGACTTCATTGCCTGGTTGGAAGCTGTACTTTGAAGGGTTTGGCAGTTCTGTTTTTTCTGTAATAAATTTTTTCTGTGATCTCAGTACATTGTGTGGTCAGGAGACAAGTTATTTCTTCTGTTCTTTGAAATTAATTCAAATTTGGGAAGTTAAAGTTTATTATTATTATTACTACTACTACTACTATTATTATTTCTCTTGTGTGAGTATAGGTATATACTTATACAGGCACATGTGTGTGTGGGGTATATGTGCAGGTATGTGCCCATGGAACGAGAGGACATCATTAACTGTTGGTCTTTGGGTATTGTCTATCTTCTTTTTGGGGGTGAGGGAAGTTCTCTTATTGGCTTGTAACTTGCCAAGCCAATTAGGCTAGTCTGGTGGACTTTCCAGTGAACCTCATGCACCCACTGATTTCTGCCTAATCTGGTGCTAAGATTGCAAGTGTGTGTCATATGCCAGGCATTTAAATTGTGGGTTCTGGAAGAACAGTTGGGATCTTTATGCTTGTAAGGCAAGCATGTTCCTGTGGTGCTATCATGGGTTCCCAAGGTCTATTGTCTTCATTATTTTTTATTGTACAAGCAGTGTACCATCTTGAAAAGTCTCCCAAGCTCTCACCCTTGCTAATCATTTAAAAGGCAGCTGCACAGTGGTTCAACATTTGTGTAGTTCCTATGATGGCTTATTATGGGTTGCAATCATACTAGAGTGAATTATTGTGCGGCAGGCAGTGGGATGGGCACTGAGATGCCACGGAGAATGGTTTCTGAATCTTGAACTGCTGAAATACACATAGCACAGTAGAGGGGAAAAGAAGTTCAGAGGGAAGAGAATTTTGCTGCAGGCCCTCCAGCTTGATGGTGGGAACGAGACTCGCCCCCAGGGCCCAAGCAGACCTAGAGCTGGAATGTGGGGCTGTAGCACTGGTCACTGGAGGGCAGAGCTAGCTTCTGGAGACTGGAAAGTGGTGTGGGGCTTGGGGTTAAAGTAGGGGCAGATGTAGGTAGGGAACCAGGGAGGGTCCTCTGGATAGGAGATTAAAAGACAAGGAAGGGTGAGAATGTGTGAGTGAGAGGGAGCAATACCATGGGAGACATTAAATTAGGAGGCCAGGAAGCAGGGTGGGGGGTTGGGGGCATTCGCTGAGTGGAGGCCTATTCACTGATGGGGGGAAGGGCCAGGACAGCTTTAATAGATTCTTTAAATGAAGCAAGATCCAGAAATTTAAAAATAATGGAGTCAATCACTCCATGACTACCTCCTATGTGGACTTTCAGAGTCTGTGTGAGGGAGTCTTGTAAGATTTGTGACCTGGCTTCTCATTCAATGAAGCAATACTAATAGGATATAGGTATGAGATGCATTCAGTTTTGACCACAGCCTATATTGGTAAGATGTGTTCCCAGGCACACCTGACATTCTGTTTTGGTAGCAGGTCTGTTGGAAGTAGGCTAGGGGAAGGAGAGATGAGCAGAGGGATTTTCCCAACAGAAGAAGATAAAGAGGTTATGGAAGCAAGGTTCTGCATTTAAAGTAAAAAGCCAAGTGCCTGGAGCCTGAGCAGTAGCCAATGAGAGGTGGATAGGCAGCAGTGAGAATAAAAATGATTGACAGCGTTTACCTGTCGGTGAGAACGCATTAGTCAACAGGGCGTGGTGATGACTGAAGACAGCTATGGGAACCAGGAAGAGGAGAACTAGGAAGAGCCCTATTCAGGCTCTTCTGTTGTGAGACCACCCTGGGGGCTCTGAATGCCAGGACTGGTAACAGACAGGAGCCTATTCAGAGAACAGTGACCAGGGCAGTAGTGGTAGGCGTAAGAAGTCTGGTCATTGTGAATGGCTGGAGGGTCTGGAGAGAAGCCTTGGGCAGAGGGAGATGGACTTATTGGCAGTAGAAATTTGAAGAGCCTGCCTAGACAAGGAGGTTTGGCCCCAGCCAATGACCCACTTGGACAGGTGGGAACTACAGTAGATTTGATTGCGTGTGAGAGACACCAGCTGTTTAGCTGTGATGAGAGGGTCCTCCTGGGGAGTTATCAGGTTGAGGGTAGTCACAAAGGACGGTGGGGATATGTGCATGGAGGCACTTCACGTCTCTGCTGCCTTAAGTGTGCCTGTGGGAGAGCCAGAGGAAAACAAGGGGTCCTACTTTGTATGTTTAATGAGAAGAATAAGCAAAGAGCCAGGAGCTGTAAAACAAAACTGAGCTTTCTGGCAGCACTAGACCCAGTTGAGGGCGTGGACTGAGATCACTCACGTGTGCATGATGCTTGAAGGGAATCCAGGGTGACTCTGGGAAAAAGCATCAGGACAGGGCTAGTCATAGGCCATCTTTCTCCATCCTTGTGTACTGGAGTTAGGATTGTCCCAGAAAACACAGCCTTGCCTCTTCTAACCTTCAAAGACTTGACTGTCTTAGCCAGAGAGGAATAGAAACCATGGACCAGGAGGGAAATAAATGCCCTAGTTCTAGGATTGTGGACAGGGAGATGCTCCAGGGCAGGGGCATAAGAAATATGGGGAGTGGGGGAGAAAACAAGCAAGGTCTCTAGAATTTAGAGTCTATATGCGTATGTTCTGGGCAATGGGGAATTCTTTAGGGCTTGAACTAGGACACTGGGAGGCATCAGAAGACTCTAGAGAGGTTCCCTGGTGTGGTCAATGAGCAGTCTCACCAGGGCCAAACGCCATCATACCCACACCACCCTGATGAGAATAACAAGCAATTCTATAAACTGTACAGGATGTCTTGCTTGTGTTATCTCGTGCGATTTCCATTGTCACTGTGACAGGACAGTAGGGGTTTGGTGGGGTATTTTATAATGCTGAGATCGTACTTTCCCATAAGGTAGGCAGTCAGAAAGACAGCGAAGCTGGCCCATCACCCATCACCCATCAGATACTGACTGGCAGGAGCACATGCGGATCCCAGGGGAGCTTTGCCAGCTGCTCCTCCCCCTGAGAGGATGTGGCAGGGCGGGCCACAATAGAGATCTAAATTTAATTTCCACCAGCTTCTCAGCTGCAGAGATTTTTATCTAGGACATGGTGAACAGGAAGAACAGCCATTGGCTCACCACCATTCTAACTCCATCTGACCTTGGATGAGATGTGCGTGTCTAGGCTGGGAAAGTTCTTGGTCTGAGGAGGAGTCTTGAGAATGCCACCCAATTGCCTAGCCCTTTGGCCCAGGAGGTATCTCCAAATTAAAGAGCCAGGTGCTCCAGCAGTCCCTCGTCAATCTCTCTGTTGCTCCCATGGCTTTGCTGGACTTGCTGCCCTGGTTTTATCAGCTTTCCGATCAGTCCAGGAAACTGGATGTCTTCAAGTTGATCAGTGCTCTGTTGCTGGGTTGGGCTGGGAACTTGGGCTTCTGGGAGGTTCTCTAGAATGAACAATCATTTCCAAATGTCCCAATGCCAAACTTGGAAGGCCTTTAGGGGGCTCCAAGTTGCAGCCTGGCTTCCAGCCTGCTGCCCCTGTGGGGCTTTGCTCCACTCCACAGAAGAGGCAAGCATTCCATGGTTTCAGCCAGGGTTCCTTGCATCTAACTCTGCCTCCTTCTGCTGCAGGTGCTGGGTGCTAGCATTATTTCTCTGGGGTGCAACATTATCTTCCCCATGGCAAACTCAAGGTCTTCACAAGTCCTGGCGAGTTTCAAGAACTTAAATCAGCATTTCAATGGTTTTCCGCAAGGGGCTTCTCTCTCTCTCTCTCTCTCTCTCTCTCTCTCTCTCTCTCTCCACCCTGCAGTTTCCTTGGAAGGTAGATTTAGTCCTTACTTTACAAATGAGGAAACTTAGTCTCAGAGAGGATTGGTGACTTGCCTAGGGTCATACAGCTAGAAATGTGCAACCAGGAGTGTGATAGCACCCCCACCCCCGACTCCTGCCCCAATACAGATTGATACAGCATTCATTGCCTTTCTCTTACTTATGGCTCTTTGGTTCCCTCCTCTCTGGCCTCTGCTGGCTCTCCCACTGACCAGCAGTGACTCTTGGGGGCTGTCCTGTTTGCTGCCTGCTTTCAGTG